TGGTGGTGGTGGTGGTGGTGGTGGTGGTGGTGGTGGTGGTAATAGACTCCAACAAATTCAATTTCCCAGCTGTAATTTTCTTCAATCGAAATGGATAGACTGACTAAAGAGAACACAAATTGGGTTCCAGTTGACGCTTAGGAATTTTGATGAAATTCTTCGGTCGTTTCGTAAAACACAACCTACGAGTATCACAGTGGACGGCACAAATCACATTATGCCAATGTGCCCTGAATGCTGATCGATAAAAAGGGAGGATGGATTGGGAGATGAGAGACAGAGAGAGAAAGTTTAATTACATCTATTTTTCATTTTTTTCACTTTTTAATTCCTTTTATTAAACATGCAAAGATACAGTTTCAGGGAAGGGGGAAACGGCCAACCAAAGGGCTGCCGTTCAACGCGCAATGCAGAAAGTTAGGCAGTGGTGATGAGATTCGAACACACATTCCCGGGGTGATAATTTGGCGACGTTGCCACCGGGCCATCAACATCAAGAAATACAGACATTACCTATCAATTTCTTTTTTGGCACTGAGCGGTTCGTGGTTTGTAATCCAAAATGATCAAGGTATCATCGAAAAGCATAAGATTTGGAAGGGTAGTACGTAACAATTTTATAGAAGATGAAATAAGATTTACTAGTTAATTTATTGCTGAAATGTTTTGCACAAACCGTCCGAGTTGGGGTTGCTTAGATCGTCATTCTGGGTTGCGTCATCACTATTATAAACAATTTGGGTGTGATTTCCGATAATCATTATGATAAACACCAGTCGTTCTGCAGTATAGCAGCTGTTAGCGAAAACTAGACATCACTTAGAGATGAGTTCGCTTACCCGGGCGATTTTTAAGGCTTTACTCCTCATTTTTAGCACTGCCCACAACTCGACCGCCTCAAATTTGTACACTTTAGCGACTTATTTTCTATGGCAAAATATTACGATAATTTTCTCAACATAATTTATTAATTCGGGCCTTTCTCTAACTCATTAGAATTATCAGCGAATGTTTTCAGATGCCCATTCACCCGAAACGATATGTTTTATGCTTTTCCCCCAATATAGTAGGGATTCAGCATGCTCGGTGGTAGAGTGTGTTGAATTTCCGTAGGCTACCGGGGAAATACTTGAAAACCTAATGCGACACTCGCTCTAGATTGATTTAAGTTTAATTTGTTGTAGATTGCTGGATCAGCGCAGAAGTGTGCCAGTAAACGCCTACTCAATGAGGATCATTGCCTAATCGAGTTTTCCGGTCAGTGTTGAAATTCGGCTGCAACCTTTTCTTTATATATATTTGTAAATTTGATGGGCTGATATTCGGAAAGATTAATTACGAAGATACTGACAAGAAATCCTATAAGTAATCATGAATCTTTGTATTTTTAAGAGAAAATTTCATAATTTCTTCTTCACAAGAATAATTTGCTGAGATGAGCTAAGGAAACCACGTGTGGAAAGTATTGTTACATTTACCGTTTCTTTTGACTGGGTTCGAGCGCGGTTCACAGACCGATCGATCTTCTTCCAGATTGCGATCGGATGGCCTCATGAATCAGATTAGTTTGAAGTTTTTCCTCCTGTGGTCGTATGGATAGAACCAGCATGCAAAACCACTTGGAATAATGGAGTGCAAGTCGGTCGGGATATGTATGGATACTAGGGTAGGAGGACGAGTTCAACATGATTGACACAACTCTTGAAAACTGTTGGTCATCGCCTGTTCAAACATCTCTCCAAGCACGGAGCGATTCATCTATTTACTTATCTTAGTCTCACACAACGCAAAAGAGGTGAAATTCGAGGGGAACTAGTAACGCAAACCGGTGACGAAGAAATCGAGTCCAATCCATCTATTTTGGACATCTTAACCACAAGATCAACCGATTTCACCCATTGTGCCCAAAGTTTTGATGTTCTCGGGCTTAATGGCACAAGGAAGAAACCATAGATATATATAGAAATATACTTTTTTGAAATTGCCTGTTGTAAAGACCAGCGAAATGTAGCGTTTCCAAAAACCAGCAGGATTCAAAAATATTTCATCATTAATTTACAGGTAAAATATGTTGGGATACAATTTTAAAAACATCGGACTTTCTGCTGAACACTTTGTGCTCAGTAATGCACAAGCGCTAGTGGTTGGTGACAATTTATAATGTACATCAATTTACGCCCAGTAGAACAGTGCATATACATCACTGTGAGGGTTTTTTATCTGTTGCTGAGGCATATATTTCAACTTTGGGCAAATAGTTATTGCATGCCTAATAATTACTATCAATCTGTCTGCACCTTGTCTTTTATCCTATTTTTTTACCTTTGTTTATGGAACACATATTGCTTCAGTTTTCAACAAGGAGGAGGTGACCAATGAAATGGCTGTCATGTAAACAACAGAGAATGCGGAGGATCAGATAGGGATGGCGGGATTCGAACACTCATCTTTCGGGGCCGTTACTTATTGACCTCAACCGTTTAACTACCTTTGATTTTGCGTGTTTCCGCTTGGAAGTAATTGAATACTACACGTTTAGAATGACTGCAGTGGCTTTCCTTAAATAGACAGCGTGAAAAATGAAACAAATAATTCTATGTGGATCGGATGACTTAACAATTATGTGATCTTTGAGAATCCCACATCCGGTCCCCAGAAGAAATTTGTTCTACATAACCCATGAGGTTATTTTCCCTTTCCCGAAACAATTGTTTGCGTTTTTTGGTTGAATACTGATTGATATATAAACAGCGTAATATTTATGTGATGCATTTGGCATAAATACGAATCACTGAAAACGAGCTTGTTCACCACTCCTTGTTTTATTTGAAATGTGCTCTGGGGAACTGTTTAGACAACGAAGCGGAATCCTTGTAGGCCGGACCTGATACAGAGCAAGCAAATCGTTCTCGGACAAGTGAATGTGCATAACGGTTACCCAGAATTGGTCTCTTGAGTTCGAATATCATCCAACAGGATTGTAACAAATGAGAGGAAGAACATACCCGTGGGCTTACCAGTTGACAGTCTCAAGGAATTTATATTCAGGTGCACTTTCAACGCGCAGTTCTTGTTTGGTAATACCTACTAACGCCAAAAAGATGAAGTTGCCATGGGGTTTACCTTAGGGCCAATCCTTGCGGACAAAATTTGGATCCGGTTCTTTGAATGCAGTCATCAGTCATTCGATCACTACCAGAGATTCGTGGATGATATTTTGGTATTTCCGATGACAATTTTAAATTCAACGATATGTTGTTCAACTTCAATATGGCACACTTAGGGATTTGCTTTACGGTTGAGAAGGAAGAATACAACGAGACGTTTGAATGGCTCTATGCAGCGGAGGGCGCAGCAAAAGCCACACGAAACGGACGGTACGCAAACTTCCATAGTTTTATATCGCTCGCTTACAAGCGAACTAAGTGTTCTGTCTTCTATTCAGAGCAAAATTCATCTGCTAAGAGGACACTTCAGAAACAGAATTAGCAGTTGTGCGAAAGACGCTTTCATTGGTGGTAGACAGCCGTGCTGTTGCCCGGCTTGCTAACGCGCTCAAACTATTGAGGCCTTATGTGGTTTACCACTCCAAGTCTCAGGGTTGGGTTGCCGGTCTTCTCTCACACCACAAATGAACAATACAACTCACAGAACTCACAGAATAAGCACTCTACCTACGAACCCACAGCATTCCATAGCCTTCACTAACACTCTTAGTTTAAATCGAAACGTTAATTCTGTGCACCACTTTCTACAATCGTCTTCCCCTTTGGCTTTATTTTTGACGGAGACACAAATCTCTCATCGTCAGAAACTACTCATCTTCAGTTCTCTAATTAATTCCTCTGTTGTTCTTTTTTTCTGAAGCTGGTTTCTTCGGCTATATCCATCATTCTGTCGCTTCTTTCCGACTTTGACACTTAGACTTATCTAACCGTGAATTTCAGCTTATGTGGCTGAAAATTCGATTCGCTTCATTCAGCCACTATTTTTGTACTGTTTACCGCTCCCCGCCCTCAGTAGTGATTCTTCTAATTTTGATATTTTATCTTCCAACACTGAGACACTAATGGCGGGAGATCCTAACAGCCAAATTACCATTGTCAGAGATTTTAATGTCAACAACAAGGAAGGGCTGGAGCACGCCTCAGACACTGCCTTCATGGAACGCGAAGCCGAGGCTTTTGATGTGGTCAACTGCCTAAGTCAACTAGTTGACCTCCTCACACGCATCTCTGATCGTACTGGTGACCGCGCCCACACCCTTGACCTCATTCTAAAATCCATTCCGTCTTCATTCTCCAGCATCACTTCCTTTCCCCATTAGGCTCATCGGACCATCGTCTCATTTCTTTTCTCACTCATTTCTCTCAGTCCATTTCACCACCAAACTCCAAACGCACCTTTTGGCGTTATGATTCAGCCAACTGGGACCGTTTTTGTGACTTTCTGGCTTGTTATCCCTGGAAGGATTGTTGTTTTAAATGGGATGTTTTCAAGTCTGTTTCAAACTTCACAGAGATTGTTCTTCAAGGCATGTATCTTTATATTCCACACTTCTCCAAACCCGGCAAATAACGATCCCCTGATGGTTTTAATGATGCTTGCGACCGTGCTGTACGTTTAAAAACCTCAACATTTCGTCGTTGGAGCCGCTCAATCAATCCAGCATCCCAAAACCGCTTCGTGCAAGCCAGAAACAAATTTTTGGTCACTATTCATAGAGCTGAAGAACGCTTCATTTGTCACAAAGCTGCGCGCTTGGCTTCTTCTGCAACCGGTAACCGAACATTCTGGTCCCTCGCTGAAGCGGTTTCACGTAATTTCTACCCTTCCAACTTTCCTTCCAGTTGCACTTCCTCTGGTACTCTTGTTTGTGATCCCCACGAAAAAGCAGGAGTCTACGCTTCCCGGTTTGCCTCCAACTACACGTTATCTGCCGTCTCTACTGTTCAACCCTCTCCCACACATTCAGTCATTCCTTTATACCCGGTCCGGACGGTATTCCACCTGTCATCCTAAAAATGTGTGCCCGGAGTTAGCCCATGTTCTACGCCGCCTTTTCTGTTATTCACTCGAACTTAAATCTTTTCCTACTCCAGAAAAAATGCCATCATTTTTCCAATCCCATGCGCGGCACCCCTTTCGACCCCAACAACTACCGTCTCATTACTCTTACATATGTAATTTTGGAAGTGTTTGAAACCATTATCTCCGATCAACTACGTACGTTTCTCGAACGCGAAGGTTTGTTAAATGACCATCAGTATGGATTTCGCCCTCGGCGAACTACGGGTAATTTACTGGCGCTCACATCACATTCCTCGTCAACCGCACTCTATAACCACGAAGAAACTCCCGTGGTTTCGCTCGACATTTCAAAGGCATTCGACAGCGTTTGGCATGACGGTCTGCTGTCGAAATAACCCACCTTCGGATTCCGCCCCTCTCTAGTATCATGGCACCAGTGCTTCCTCAGCAAGCGAACCATCTCCGTCCGAGTAGTTGGGGTCCTATCGCGGCCATTTCCTGTAAACGCCGGTGTTCCCCATGGTTCCACAATTTCGCCCACTCTCTCTCTTATTTATCATCAATCTTTTATCCCAAACATCTAATCGCATCCACTGCTTTGCCTATGCTGCCACTCTCCATTATTCTCTTGCTTATCCCACAATCCGTCAAGATAATGCCAACATCGATCACGATCGTCATGTCATTGGTGCTCCTCTTGCCTGCGATCTCGGACTGATCTCCGCATTGGTTTCTACCAACCATGAGTGTTTCAATGCTTCCAAAACATCTCTCTCCTCTCAGTCTCCCTTAAACATGTCTCCTTTTCTCCTCAATTGATTTTCGATTCTCTGCCCCTTCGTTCCACAAATTCCCTCTTCCTCCTGGGTTTATCACTAAGTTTTTCTCTCCGTTGGTCCCCTTATATCTCTACACTTGCCTGTCGCGCTGCGCTCAAAGTTGGTTTTCTATTCCGCGCAAGGCGTTTCTTTACACCGAAGCACCTTCTTTAAATCCACCCGATGCTTGAATACGGCAGTCACGTATGGGTTGGAGCTTTGTACTCTGCTCTCTCTCTCTCTCTCTCTCTCTCTCTCTCTCTCTCTCTCTCTCTCTCTCTGTCTCCTCAATCGTGTTCAACGTAAAGCCATCCGGTTGATTGACGAACCGTCTTTAACTTCTACCTTGCAGCCACTTTCCCATCGCCGGGTAGTTGCTTCGTTATCTCTTTTCTATCGTTACTATTTTGGTTTCTGCTTTTCTGAACTCGCTTCAACGGTTCACCTTCCATTGACCTTCTCTCATCCATCTCGTTCGCGGGCGACCAGTCAACCTTATCAGATGTCTGTCCCCAGATGTCGGACTTCTGTCTTTCAATCCTTTTTCCCGATGACTGCGAAATTGTGGAACACTCTTCCCAGTTCCGTTTTTCGCAGTTCTTATAACCTTACCCTTTCTATAAGCAGGATTAACAGATTGGTTCTTGCTTTAATGTTCCCCATATACCTCCCCGTTATAGTATCCCATTGATTATGGGGTTTACCCCTTTTGTTGTAAATCACTTCGTGTGGAATAAAAAATTATGTTCTGCGCATCGGTTTCCATCGGCTCTGTTACGGTCGCTTGTCTAGGGTGGTCAGAATTCTTCAACCGACATGAAGTTGAATCTAAGTGAAGTGTTATCGACGACGCAACAGTTTGCTCTTTGCTCATTGTAGAGAGGGTGCATGCCTTCTCCTTCCCCCATCCCGACTAAGAATTGCATCGATGCTTTATTTATGATTGAATTTCGTTTACACGTAGCAAAGAAATAAAAAGAGGACGATTTAGTTCTCTTCTGATTTCAGTCCAATTCTAACACGATCGTTCATTCAAATCCACCGCGAAATCGGTTGCCGTTCAGGTTCCTCTTCCTCTTTATATTAATCCTTCTCTACGTTAACAGTATAATATTACAAGTGGGCCTGTCATTGGTTAGTTTAGTGGTGAGAAAATGATTCAAACATGCTGCGTCGGACGTGTTTCGTTCTGTCAAACTCTATCATTAACACATTTGATTAATTCTCAAATTCGTCCCATTATTTACTGATACACCGATAAACGATTATAACATCAGTGGTAGATGAATCTCAAAAGAGAATCAGATTTTCGAACCGCATAGATCAGTACTAAGCGGGATCAACATTTTCCACTCGCAGTCGGAAACCCGATTTGCTCACCCAGTATCATTATTCATTGGCAAATATACCGTTTTACTTGTTGAATGTTTCTATTCATAGCGCGTAATGTGTAACTTACGATTATCGGCTCATGATCACCGCTGGATGTACGTTTTCTGTGAATAAAAACACTTCAGGTTATGTGGCATATACTGTTTTGCAACTGAAATTAGATTTGTCTTGGGTTTTTCTTCCCATACCGAAATCCTGTCACTTTACCGAAACGCAAATCCCGACCAGTAGCAGAATTTGCCTTTTATCCAATCGGTCGCTCAAGGTAATAGTTTATTGCATAAGCTGGGAAAGTTGAATTGAAACTGGGTTCGGCATTTTGTGATTCTTTCGGCATATTTTTGAGCAAACCGCCAGCAATCTGTGATGTGTTCCGGCGTTTTTTTAATATGAAACGGCAAGTAAAATCAGACAAGACAGGGGAACCCAGGTGAAATTTATTTACTTACTTAGCATATCATGGACACAATTTTCTCCATTACACCTGCGGTCTGGTTTATTTGCCCAATAGCGATTCACTTTGTTGTACACCACAGCGTACATACTCTGATCACTTCATCGACACACTTCACTTCACTCTTCCCCTCACCACCACGCATTGACACTTAAATGTTTGTTCTCAACAGTGATATTTTGGACTGGCTTTCCCCGCCAATTAGAATCGAGCTATTTTTATCCCAGTTGTGGTTATTTTGTCTCAGAGAGACCATTTAAAGTTTTTCAATCCGGATTTGTTTTCTTGGTGGTTAGGTGACTGAATTCGAAAGATTGTCGATCGAAGCGACGGACATAGCTGAGGTTTTGGGGATGGAATGTGCTGCCCCGAAAGCAGATTCTATCATTCCCTAAAACGTGATTTATTTTGATGCATCAGTGACTGTTGGCTGTCAGTGTAACAGGAACAAATGCTATTTCGGTAGGCAAGTTGCCGGTAATTGTTCTGGTTCTGTCCTCGGGTCATTCGATTACCACGCGCTTATCGGTCGAAATCAAATTCTTATCACGTGATATAACGCGTGTTGACTCCTTATTCAGTGCATGTGAGGATTTAAGTTCACGAGGACAGGTCAGGTGACCTCAGCCTTGCACACAGAAGGGACATTAAGGTTTTGAGAAGTTTATATGCATGGTTCTGTGTGACAGGGAGGGATAGATTAATTCGGTTTTCACGTTCCCAAGGAATTTGAAAATGCATTCGTTATTTGTTGCTGTCTGATAAAGGGAATGCGGACAGAATCATCACAAATTCCAAGAATTTACTTTGAGCTCAAAGATTTCCCTCAACTGTAGTGGATGAATCACTGTAAAATCAATACACTCAATTTTTCTTTATGAACAATGCACGTATGGAAAATTCACCTATCTGTCTTGTTTAACTATGGTCACCCACAGGCAAATGGAGTGTAGTTTGCTATTCATCATTTCTAATTTTAAGTTGATAACTATTTTAACTATTCACCGGAACATTCCAAATGTAGCCGTTTCGGCTACTTATCACGTTATGAAATATAACGATAGGGAAACGAAACATTAAGGAACCAATTTGCTACTCAGTGACTCCAATTTCTAAATCCAGAGCTCGGACTAAGCAGTTTGAGCAGGACAGATGGGACGAACGCGTACAGGATACCCACTGATAAAATCACGACAAACCTTGATGTACATAACTTGGATCAACTCCGTTACTAATCTTGCTATGGCTAAAATGCACTGAACCATATACACTTTAATCATCATTACGAATCTAAAACGTGAATGCCCTATTGTTTTATTTATTGACTCGCAGAAAATTTGATCACTAACAGTTGAGTGAAGAACAAAAATAGCTGTTTAGAGATCGAGGAACTCTACTGGCGACATGCTAGGACAAGGTTGTGACAAGACACCAACTCTCTGTTTTCATATCCTCTACTCCCCAAATTTCTGTATTGGATCGATACACCTGTTTGGCTGGTTACTTTTAATGTTTAGAGGGCAGACAAACGACATAGGGGAATTTAGTGCATGAACACTCCTTCTCATAAATGTTTCCTGTACGTGACTTGCCCCTTTTTTATTTTACCTGTCTTTTCAGTTTAACTGCCTGTCTGCACCCTATTAACCAGCACTTTTATATTTTGAAATTGCAAAACATTTGGTAAATTATTACTTGAACTATCTTTAGAGAGATTATAGTGCTATCCCTTTAAAGGGTTTTGTTTTGTTTTAGTTGTAGTTGCCCATGAAGGAAATCGGTATTGCTATATATA